GCCAGTGTGGCCACAGGGATTCTAGGAAATGTAGGCCACGGAAGGAAGTTTTCTAAACTTTGAGACTGAATAAACATTATCCTACTGAGACCGTGTTAATTTAGGACACAAAATTGATGCATCCAGTACAAATGCTTAGTTAGTTTCTTCATAAAAACAATGAGTAACAATTGCAACTCCCCCAAATACAGTCGTGCCCCGCTTAATGATTACCCTGTATAACAACAAATCCGTTTCACAACAATGTTTTAAATGGGTTTTTTTCGCTTGGCGAAGATCGGTTCCCAAAGCAGGGAACCGATTCTTCGCATTACCACAATCAAAACAGCTGATTGTCGGGTTTTCAAAATGGTCGCCGGGTGCTCAAAATGGCTCCCCGCTGTGTTTTTGGACGGATTCCTCGCTCTACAGGCACCGAAAATGGCTGCCCCTATGGAGGATCTTTGCTGGACGATGAGTTTTTCAGCCCATTGGAATGCATTGAACAGTTTTCAATGAGTTTCAGTGGGCTTTTTTATTTTGCTCTACGTTTTCACTCTACAGCAGTTTCGCTGGAACGAAATAATGTCGTTAAGCGAGGCACCACTGTACTGAGTTAAGCTCATAGGTATTATTTTTAGAAAGAAATTTTTTAAGAAATATTTTTATTCAATTTTTTCTACTTTTCTATCTGTTGCAACGGAAAGTAATTCTTTATTATTCTCTGAAAACATAATGGAACAAGTTGTTTTTTAGTTACTTAAAAAAATCCTAGCACCAACCTGGGACCTTTCAGGATTTTCAGAATGAAAGTTTCTTACCTGTTGCTCCCATTGGTCGGACTCCTGCTGCCTCAACAGGAAATCTTCCGCCAGGGACACCGCCTGGGTGCAGGTTTCGGGCCCACCTTCCCGTACCCAGTGCTGGATCTCTGGGGGAAGGACGGCCAGGAACTGCTCCAGGATCAGCAGCTCCAGGATCTGCTCCTTGGTGAGCCTCTCCACCTTCAGCCACCCCTGGCAGAGTTCCCGCAGCCGGCCGTAAGCCCCTCTCGGCCCCTCGGCTTCCTGGTAGCAGAAGCGCCGAAAGTGCTGGCGGTGCTTCTCCCGGTTCAGGGCATCTCTTTGCAGGATGGCGGCCTTCACTTTCCCATAATTCTCTCTGTCCTGACTCTCCAAGGCGCGAAAAGCCCGCTCGGGCTCCCCTCGGAGGGCCGGCTGAAGTCGGGCCGCCCACTCTTCCCGGGGCCACCGGCAGGCTGCGGCCACTTGCTCGAAGGAAGCCAGGAATGCCTTGACATCATCCCATGGGACTTCTGGGGGTTCCTCCAAACATGGTCCCACGGTCCAGTGTGCCAGAGGAGCCTCCACGGTCTTCAGAAACTCCTGCCACTGGGCTTCCCACTGCTGAAGCGGCCCTTCGCCCGGTTCCTGTTTAATCTGTGCAACGGGTATTCTCTGAAGGTCCTCTCCAACAGTCACAGCCTGGAGGATCTGAGGAGCTTTCCGGACACCCAACGATCCTTCTTCGGGGCCTTGGTCCTGCATTTCCATCTCGGCCCGATTCGGCCACCAGGAATCACTCGGGTACAGAAACCCCTGGAAAGAAAAAAGAAAAGGAATTCCTAGGAAGGAGCAATGTTCTCAATGGGCACCGCGAGGTTCTCCTTGAGGAAGAAAAAAGGAATACAGTGGTGCCTCGCTTTACGATTGCCCTGCATTATGACAAATCCGCTTTACGATGATCTTTTTGCAATCGCAATTCCTCGCTATTCAAGCAGCGAAAATGGCCACCGTATGGAGGATCTTTACTGGACGGTGAGTTTTAAGCCCACTGGAACGTATTGAAAGGTTTTCAATGCATTTCAATGGGCTTTTTATTTTTGCTTTATTTAATGGTGATTTTCCTGGAACGGATTACAGTGGTGCCCTGCACAGCGACGTTAATCTCGTTCCAAGAAAAACGTCGCTATCCGGATTCCTCGCTATGCGGGGCAAAAAAACCCATAGGAACACATTAAAACTCATTTAATGCATTCCTATGGGGGAAAAACTCACCGCTATGCGGAAATCCTCCCTACGGCCACCATTTTCGCTGCCCAGTAAGCAAGGAAACCGAGCGAAAATGCTGCAGGTGGCCATTTTGGAACTGCCGATCAGCTGTTTTTTTAAAACATCGCAATACGAGGATCGGTAAGCGAAATGCTTACCGATCACTGCAATGAGATTTTCGCCCATTTAGAACATCGCAATGCGATCACTTTTACGATAGCAAAATCCGCATCGCTATGCGGATTCGTCGTTAAACGGGGCGCTCGCTATGCAGGGCACCACTGTATCGCCGTTAAGCGAGGCAGCACTATATAACAGAGGCGCTACTAGGGGAAAGATGGAACCAGCATGTTTTCTGCTGCTCCAGAGGGTAGGACCAGAAGCAATGAATTCAAGGGGCGAGCAAAGAGCTTCTCAAGAAACATAAGGTAAGAATGTCTTGAGAGTACAAACTGTTTCACAATGGGACGGATTCTCTTGGAAGGAGGTGGATTTTCCTTCACTGCAGGTTTCTAAAACAGACGTTGAATGGTCATCTGTCAGAGAGGCCTTACTCTGGGACTCAAAGATTACCTTTGAGGTGCCTTCCAATTCTACAGCTCCAGAATGAAGAGGAATGGAAGAGAATGAAGACAGGCCATGAGCAGAACTAAGGGGCTTTCAGCATCCCCCCCTCCTTCTGTTTTGGATGTATAGGCAAGAGGTGACAACAGTCATACAGCCAAAATGGCACCACTCATGTACCAACATGGGAGAATGTTGTGGGGATGTGCTTTTTGGAGTTTCTGGAAACCATCTTCCAGAATTCTCCAATAATTCCCTGGGCTGAATTCTGGGAGGTCCAGCTCCATAACCCATAGCTCCACACCACAAACATGCCATAAACATACACACACATGTATTTCGCTCACCTGGAAAAGGGCCTAGCTCGAAAGCTCCACGGCCTAGCTTTCAGTTAAAGGACGGTGCCCCATTGTTACCTGGCAGTTCTAGGGTTTCCTGGGTTGTGTAGTTCCTTCTATAGGGCCTAATGGGCAGCATGACTACACATCCCGGGAAGCCCTCAAACCTTTTGAGAAGGGAGGGAAGCCATTTTGAGGAGCAGGAAAAATCATTGTATAGCGAACAAACGGTTCGCAAAGCAGGCTCCTAATCAACGTAACACGGATTTTCCCCATTGGAACCATCGTTTTGCGATTGGAAAAATGTCATCGTCAAGCGATTTCGACGTCATGCAGGGTAAGCGTCTACCGAGGCACCACTGTACTGTACTCTATACTTAGAAAATCCTCGAAAAGGTCAAAATAAGTCAAAATTCACTTGCCAGCCCGCTAGTCCATAGGATCACTGTGATGGACCGCTCTCAGAACACTCCTGTCAGTCAAGTCAGAGCTCTGATGTGGGAGCCTATGACATGACAGGAGGGGCGGAACTAGGGAAATAAGGAGAAAGAAAGACAGTTATTGACAGTTTAGGCAGTTGTCTTAGAGAGAAGAGTAACAGAGAGATAGTGAAAGAGACTGAAAGAGATAGGAATAAGACTAGTCTAGACAAGTTTTGGTGTGATTAAGAATTGAATGAATTAAAAGTGATTATAATAAAAGAAACTGTATGAATATACAGTTAAAGAAAATCTAACTACACAAGCATATCTCAAATCAAAAGAACATATACTGAACGAATAAAATGAGACCATCTTTGATTTCCATGTATGATTGAACTGTTATCCTATAAATAAACCTTGTTAATGTGGAGAGCTGTGACTCATTATTAAAATTTGGTAGATTGAGGAAAATCCTCTTGTGGCAGCGTATAAAAGGGGAAAATTGCAAGTAGCACCCAAAGACAAATCTGGAAGTTAAGGAAAACACACAGAGGAGCTGGAGGGTGGCAACGATCGCCATAAACCAGATGCAACTGGGAGGTCCACCACCCAACTAACTTAAAATCAGCATATGGGCCAGTTTAGACTCTGCCTTTTACTGGCCATAATTTTTATATTTATTTGAAATATTTTTTACACCGCCTTCTCCTTGAAAGAGTGGTTGACCAGACCAGATGGGCGGGATATAAATCAAATAAATAAATAAATTGAAAGGACCCGAGGCGGCTTGCATCATCATGAGAAGGACAATACTGTATTTAAAAGCTAAAAACCGGAAGGGCACAATTGTTTTTTTTTAAATGAAACAAGTGTATTAAAAATGGTAAAAAGTAATTTTTTTAAAGCAATTCCCCCCCCCCCCCCCCCACCCACGCAC